ACGGGTATAATCTTTTTTTAAAATAATAAGTATGATTTTATTATACATCCGTACTTGTTTCTTTCTTGCATTTACGTAACGGTAGCATATCAGCTTGCATCTGTTTATTTATTTATCATCAAGTCACGTGAAACATAGACTTTTCACCTTTCAAGTAGTTTATAAAAAAAGTTCTAATATAGTGTAGTGAATTGTATAAATATATATTGCGTTATGTATGTTTAAATTTATTTAATAATGTTGTTAGAACATTATGAATGTCTATTATTTTTTACATACATAATAGTTGGGATATAATATGCAAGTGTTTGTTTATATACGCGGATTGATATAAGAATGTACATGGAAATAATACTGAATTTTCTCTTAAAAATGACGGCAGCACAGAAGAAACGGCCCTAGCTCAAGAACTCCTTGTCTAATTTGAATTAAATTTGGCACTGCAATCAACAGGGGTTAACGGTACAAGATGCTTCTAAATTGTTTTGGGTATTATGCATCATCTAAGCTGTATTGCGGAAATACACATACAAACAAGAGTAGAGAGTTTTAGCATTATATATATATATATATATATATATATATATATATATATATATATATATATATATATATGTTGAGCTCTCGGAGAGGAAAGGACGATTTTAAAAACAGTGGCTGCTGTTGCTAATGCAATGCTCTTCTACTCGAATTGAGCTCTCCTAGCTACTGATATCTTTCGCATAGTAAAAAACGTTAAAATTTCCCTTTTACTCTGCCGTGCGACGATAGCTTGGGGGTAGAAGCTCTGACTGATGCCAACTTGATCGTAATCGGATGTCTAGCCATACTGCTGAGCTGTGATACAGCGAAACAGTCTGTCTGTCGATGACTCTCTCTCTCCCCCCTCTCTCTCTCTATATATATATATATATATATATATATATATTTGCGTATTTAATAAAGACCTAATGCAGCTTATAATTTTAAAAACAGGTATCAAGTGATTAGTTTAAAATTTTGTTAGCGAAGGGATTTCGCCATTTTATATCATTAACTTTACTAATTTACTTTTTGTATGAATCATTCATTGTAATATAAATTGAACTGAATATATATATATATATATATATATATATATATATATATATATATATATATATATATGAATGAGACGTTTAGTGTCATGGCGAACAGAAGATTACATCGTTTCCAAATAGACTATAAGCAGTATTCCAGATTTATCATGATAAGCCGAAAGAGGAAATCTTATGAAGCATGAATGAATGTCAAGTATTAGATAAGTTAATTTAATATGTATGAAGATACAGAAAGACGAATAAATATTGATGTGTCATCGTTAAGAAAGAGTCGAATGAAGCTCGCGTTGAGATGATTAGAAACAAAATAAGAGACAGGAGCCGTAAATTGAAAGACTATACGCCCACCCAAGTGCATGTATACACTTACACCAAGTTCCACCATCGTGTAGCGGCCTGGCAAACCCGTCTCACAAACTGTGACCACTATAGTGATTTCGATCCTCACAGGGCGCCCAAAACTTATAGATTTCTATCTACACTTCATTTCTGAAATAGTTGCCGCATGAATCTTTCCGCTTTTGCGCAGGTGTGTTCCTGTGTATTAGTGCATGCATCGGATTCGGCCAAGGATAGATTCGGGTGCTAAATATTATCAACATTTTGAAAAAAAACGCAAAATGAAAAAATAAACAAGGCATTATAATTTCTGGGTGTTTCAAATCTATCTATCTATCTATCTATCTATCTATCTATCTATCTATCTGTATCTGTCGCAATCCATATCTATCTATCTATCTATCTATCTATCTATCTATCTATGAATCTCCCTTCATATTTATCCCAGTATATTTATTTCTCTCTATCTATCTATCTATCTATCTATCTATCTATCTATCTATCTATCTTATATAAGTATATTTATTTATCTCTCTTTCTCTCTCTCTCTCTCTATCTATCTATCAGTCTGTTCATATCTATGAATTTCCGTTCATATCTATCTATCTATCTATCTATCTATCTATCTATCTATCTATCTATCTATCTCAGTCAGTTCATATCTATAAATGTCTTTTTTATCTCAGTATATTTCTTTCTCTCTCTCTCTCTCTCTCTCTCTCTCTCTATCTATCTATCTATCTGTTCATTGCTATCATTGTCGCTTCATATTTATCTCAGTTTATTCCTTTCATCTATCTATCTATCTATCTATCTATCTATCTATCTATCTCCGTCTGTTTCTACCTGTCCATGGGAATTTCAGCAAAGAAAATCTGTTTTTATTAGAAATATTTACAATAATTTATTTGGTAGTGTGCGATTTGATTATTTTGTTCATTGCCTTGCAAATAATTATATTGTAATTTATATTTATTGACATCTTTATTTTTTAATTTCAGATATACAACGATTGCTTTGAGTAGCAAGTAAAGATAATCTCAAAGAGAAACAGGATATTGTAAATTTATCGAGTTTTGGAAAGGTGATTTCGGAAATTGTGAAAAACTTGAACAGAGATCACAGAATAATAAAAAAGAATAGAAAAAGAAACTGTAACCTTTGGCAAGGTAAGAATAAAACCAGGTGTTCAAATTTTAACACTAAATCCTAAAAGATACAGAATATTGCAGAATGTTGGCTAAAGGCATAAAAGCAACCAAGCCACCCCTTTAAGTCAATATCAGAAAGCAAAATTTCAGATAGCAAAGCTATACAAGAAACCTAATTTCCAGATAGTAATTCTAATCGCCCGGTTCAAAATCCTCCCCGATTTTTTCAAAAGGACTTGTCTTTTGAACAAGTATAGAGGTGTATCCCTGATTTTCTTCTTGGGATTGGGTTTCCGGTTCATTCTAAATCCTACTTCTTACATCTCCGTCTAAACCCTGAAATTTTATTTACTATTTTTCATCAATAGAAGTAGATAGGTTGGCCTATCATTCGGTTCACAATCCTCCCTTGTCTTTTGAACAGGGATAGAGGTTTATGCTTTGAGATTGGGTTTCCGGTTCTTTCTAAATCCTCCAACAGTATCTTTTAAACTCCGATCAACTCTGAAATTTTATTTACTATTTTCATCAATAGAAGTAGATAGGTTGGCCATCATTCCTTCTAAATCCTCCCTTGTCTTTTGAACAGGGATAGAGGTTTAAGATTGGGTTTCCGGTTCCTTCAACCTCTGAACTGTATTTTAACGTTTCAACTAAATTTTTTTACTATTTTTCATCAATAGAAGTAGATAGGTTGGCCTATCATTCGGTTCACAATCCTCCCTTGTCTTTTGAACAGGGATAGAGGTTTATGCTTTGAGATTGGGTTTCCGGTTCCTTCTAAATCCTACTTCAACAGTATACTTCTAACGTCTCCGCCTCAACTCTGAAATTTTATTTACTATTTTTCCTCAATAGGAGTAGATAGGCTCTCCTATCGTCCAGTTCTCACTGATCCCAGGTCTTTTGAAGAGGAGAAGAGGATTATCACTTGATTCCTGTTTAGGATTGGGTTTCCGGTTCCTTTTAAAGTTTTCTCATTCTCTTTCACTCCCTGTAGCCCCTTGAATCTTAGTGGCATTATCGCCTTGCTTGATAAAAAAAATAAAATAAATAAATAAAATAAAATAAATAAATAAAAAATAATGATGAATAGAGATCTATATTGGGTGGACTTGATAGCTGATCCAAAAGTTGTTCCTTCAACTAAAACTATTTAGGAGATAACAAGAGAAAAGATGAAGTAATATTTTCGGATAGTAATATAAGCAATACAGTAATGGGCCTCTTAAAAGTTTGATCATGGTGTCAAGATAAATTCAGAGAATTATTATCATTTCTAGGGCAATATTCTTTTTTCAGTGGTACATGTGAATTTCAAAGAGAACATTTAGATGTTTGTACATAGATTTATTGAAAGAACTACATTTCGCCATATTTGAAGCTGTTTCATAATTCCATCCATCCAGAACTTGGCATTTTTCTGAGTAATAAACTAGTTCAAGTGGTTTTTTACAGACTTACAGAGAATTGTAGTTCTTCACATTAAGAGGATTGTGTTGGCCAGTGGTTCTTAAACTATCTGATGTGACGGGCCGGCGAACGAAACTATCTGTGTGACGGGCCGGCGAACGAAACTATCTGATGTGGCGTACCGGCGAACGAAACTATCTGTGTGACTGGCCGGCGAACGAAACTATCTGATGTGGCGTACCGGCGAACGAAACTATCTGATGTGACGGGCCGGCGAACGAAACTATCTGTGTGACGGGCCGGCGAACGAAACTATCTGATGTGGCGTACCGGCGAACGAAACTATCTGTGTGACGGGCCGGCGAACGAAACTATCTGATGTGGCGTACCGGCGAACGAAACTATCTGTGTGACGGGCCGGCGAACGAAACTATCTGATGTGGCGTACCGGCGAACGAAACTATCTGATGTGACGGGCCAGCGAACGAAACTATCTGATGTGACGGGCCGGCGAACGAAACTATCTGATGGCGTACCGGCGAACGAAACTATCTGTGTGACGGGCCGGCGAACGAAACTATCTGATGTGGCGTACCGGCGAACGAAACTATCTGTGTGACGGGCCGGCGAACGAAACTATCTGATGTGGCGTACCGGCGAACGAAACTATCTGTGTGACGGGCCGGCGAACGAAACTATCTGATGTGGCGTACCGGCGAACGAAACTATCTGATGTGACGGGCCGGCGAACGAAACTATCTGATGACGTACCGGCGAACGAAACTATCTGATGTGGCGTACCAGCGAACGAAACTATCTGTGTGACGGGCCGGCGAACGAAACTATCTGATGTGGCGTACCGGCGAACGAAACTATCTGATGTGGCGCCGGCGAACGAAACTATCTGTGTGACGGGCCGGCGAACGAAACTATCTGATGTGGCGTACCGGCGAACGAAACTATCTGTGTGACGGGCCGGCGAACGAAACTATCTGATGTGGCGTACCGGCGAACGAAACTATCTGTGTGACGGGCCGGCGAACGAAACTATCTGATGTGGCGTACCGGCGAACGAAACTATCTGATGTGACGGGCCGGCGAACGAAACTATCTGTGTGACGGGCCGGCGAACGAAACTATCTGATGTGGCGTACGGGCCGGCGAACGAAACTATCTGATGTGGCGTACCGGCGAACGAAATCTGATGTGACGGGCCGGCGAACGAAACTATTCTGTGTGACGGGCCGGCGAACGAAACTATCTGATGTGGCGTACCGGCGAACGAAACTATCTGATGTGACGGGCCGGCGAACGTAACTATCTGATGTGACGGGCCGGCGAACGAAACTATCTGATGTGGCGTACCGGCGAACGAAACTATCTGTGTGACGGGCCGGCGAACGAAACTATCTGATGTGGCGTACCGGCGAACGAAACTATCTGATGTGACGGGCCGGCGAACGAAACTATCTGTGTGACGGGCCGGCGAAAACTATCTGTGTGACGGGCCGGCGAACGAAACTATCTGATGTGGCGTACCGGCGAACGAAACTATCTGATGTGACGGGCCGGCGAACGAAACTATCTGTGTGACGGGCCGGCGAACGAAACTATCTGATGTGGCGTACCGGCGAACGAAACTATCTGTGTGACGGGCCGGCGAACGAAACTATCTGATGTGGCGTACCGGCGAACGAAACTATCTGTGTGACAGGCCGGCGACCGAAACTATCTGATGTGGCGTACCGGCGAACGAAACTATCTGATGTGACGGGCCGGCGAACGAAACTATCTGTGTGACGGGCCGGGGAACGAAACTATCTGATGTGGCGTACCGGCGAACGAAACTATCTGTGTGACGGGCCGGCGAACGAAACTTTCCAATCCAGTTGGAAACAAAGAGATGCTGTGCCTCACACCAAATTTATTTGAGATATGTCCTATTTCAGGGTCATTTTAAGACTAAAGCAAAAACATTTAAACTTCACAATTCACACGTTGAAATGCCATTTTTTAGAAAATGTATATATGCGGGCACAGGAGGATATGTATAGAGATAGTACCTTCTGATGACTGACATACTTCACCTTCGAATGGACGGACATCACTGGTCCTCAACCATCTCCTAAACTCCTCACCTGATGGCTCCAAGTTGCCATGCCCCAGTAAACCGTTTCAGCTGGCGAACTAAACTCACGTGAGGGGCGGTGTTAACATCTCAACGCAGATCACCGGCCAGGGCGGAAGGGTTCCTCATCTGAACCACAACGGCCACATATGTTCGCGACCTGTAGTCTAACCTGGAGAAAGATGGGCTCCGCCAGGTTAAAAGGTGTTGTTCATGATGACGGTCGTCCTTGAGTATAGAATCCAGAGGTTAGCAGTGAATATTTCGAAGACAGTAGGGAAGCGTATTTCAGGTTAGCAGTGGATATCTCGGTAAAAGTAGCAGAGCGTAGTTCGTCCTTCTGTTTCTCTTCGCCTGACAAGCTGGCACTGGACATTCGGGTAGGGTAAACAAAATGGCCGCCTTTATACACGACGGATTGAATATTCTACGTCTTCTGATTGGTTAACCTTCTATTCGTGGACTATAAAATGAGTCAAGTCATTTAGGCTAGCTCACTAGTTACATAATGTATCCAAAAATTGTAAAAGGCTCAAGACGCGCCATATGGTGAGCACACCAAGAGACCATTCGCGGAGACCTAGGCTCTGGCCCATGACCGCAACAGATGTAGGAGAATGGTGGACAGCTCAGCACGTCGGCGGCTCAACGACTCTTTCCGGGATTAAGGGCGAAGGAGGAAGAAGTAGAAGAAGATATGTCATCAATTTTAGTTACGTGTGAAATGAAATCACGTGTTCAAACGTCACGTATTGAAAACGCTACGAACCAACTCAGCAAATGTCATCATTTTGTTGTTATTTTGTCATAGATATTGATTTTTTGGTACAAGCAATAATATCAAGGTCTTTTTCAAGATTCCCTATCTCCCCATTTTTTTCATCTTGATTCGATCAACCTTTTACAATTGACCAATTCCATATTGTTTGACCCTCCCCCGCCATTAGTGTATGTCCTTGATTCTGTCTCTTGGCAGAATACAGTGACTATTCTCATTCTCTGTTAATAATAACAACCAAACGATCCTTTGTGGCCGAGAGGTAAGGCACGTCAGGCTATAGGATACAGGTTCGAATCCTATCGAAGGACGAATATTTTCTATGAAAATTTCTCGGACTTTCAGGCCGGTAAATGTTATTTAATACTGTTTATTATAAACAGAACATTTACTTAAATACTTGTATCTATAAAAAGAATGTTAAACATAAAAATGTCTTTAAATAATTGTCGGACTTTGTCCATTTCATTATATATATATATATACAGAAATTTCGCCAGCATGAGTGCATTATTAGGACTCCTGTGAAATACGGCTTGTTCGCATTGAATAAGGAGGAAGGAGTTCTTGTGGCGATTGTCTCAAGTTTTAGAATTAATGGGTTGGGAATCGAACTAGTTAGGTATTATATTTACATGATGAGCCATTCCTTCTCCTCTCTGTGGCCTTGTGCTACAAACAATGTATTTTGTTTAATAATCAACCAGTCATGTCATAAACAAAATTACAAGAGCACACATTGAAGCAAGAAACAAAATAACTGTGGCTGACTTGTGCTCTTAAATATACCAAAATATTGATTTTATTTCAGAAAGATAGTCTTAAATCAATTTCTGGCCACACTTCTTCTACGTGCCGTGTTCTTTCAGGTATTGGATGATGATGGCTCTTTATAACACCCTATTCCTTGTTGAGTGATTCATTGGTTAATTTGTTTTTGTTTTAGGGTTTATCGACCCTTTGTGTGTTATTTAAAGCAAAAACATAATTCGGATTGTAGGATGTTGCTTATAGTACTCGGTTTTTCTAAGCCCCTCCCCCAATCGCTGGCTGAGCTCGACAGCGATCGAACGAGAACCAGTGTTGTCAGAGTTATTTGACCGCAGGACCCTATCCCTTGTAATCCTTAGCAACGTTGATCCCCCTACTAAAACTCCCACACCTCGTTCTGCCATTAGTTGCTTTCCGTCTTTCATGCCCTGTGAGTGTCAGATTTTCAAAGTCCTCCTTCCTCGTTACATATCCAAGAAATTTCAACTGTCAGTTTCGGATTTTCAGGGTAAGTGTCCTTTTTGTTTCCATTTTGATTAAAACTTCTACGTTGCTTACGTGCTCCATCCGTGGAATTCTCAGCATCCTTCTGTAGAACGACTTATCTGTTGCCTCCGGTTTTCTCTTCATCTGTTAGGAGATTATCCAGCATTCACAGCCGTACAAGAGAACTGATGTTACATAATAGTTCAGTAATGCTTTCTTTGTTTCTAACGAATTTCTCCTTTTCCTTTGTATAGCTTTTAGAATCCAATGGGGGTCTGGATTTCGGTGTCACATTTTCTATCCTCTGTTAAAAAACTTCAGCCAGTCAGTTATGAGCCATGCGTGATAAAATCTTAGGCGATCATGTATCTTTCGATACATGACTTTTCCCACAGTAGGTTTCCATTTCTTTCTGTGGTAGACCAGTTGCCATCCAAGTCTATAGAACCTGGTATGTCCTGCTATTTACCCATATCTTGGGGGGGGGGGGTTAAGAAAAAGAGGATTACTACCTTTCCCAAGCGTATTAGTCCGTAAGTGAATGTAATGGATTTCGATTCCTCAAGGCTATAGAACTATCTCCAACTTTTACTTCGCAGCTTGGGCTTATTTTTTAGCTAACATATATACTTTCTGTTTTCTTACAGTTGATGGCTAGTCCTTTCTTCTTGCTTTCCTTCAATACCATGTCTAGGAGATCCTGTGTTTTTCTTTCTGTATCTGCTGCTAACACGGTGTCATCTGCGTAACTTATATTGTTAAAATTACGCCCAATGGCGATAAATTCTGGTAGAGTTTCCAGCTCACATAGAATAGCCTCGTTGTAGACTAGTTTTGAATAAAACTGATCCCTGGATCGAACCGAGTACGAGTCGCTTTTAGCCCAGGATTCATATATAGGGTCATTAGTAAAAGATATATTGGCGACGGAGAGCCGAGACAATTAGGCGTATCGAGCCGACGCTGGCCAGTTGCAAGCAGCCAGGCGGAGGTGTGACGGCGGGGCGTGGGTAACAGGTAACCGATACCGGAAGTGCTGACGTCTAATACTGGGTTGCTCCAGAAAGGAAGATCCGGTTTGTAATTTCAACTGTATTCTTCCGGTCTTAGTAAAAAGGAACGAAAAAGTGCGGTTCTCGCTTGTAGAGATGACGGCGGCGATAGTGCATGCACATATCGCTGAAACTTGAATGCAGTTTATTCAAGAACGAATTACAGTTTTGCTCGATTCTATCAAATAATAAAAATAGTAGAAAAGAACGATATCATTGCTTATTTAGAAAATGGTTTCATACCATTAAATGGTAGCGATTTAATTAATTAATCCATCGAATTAATCTGCTTTCCCAGCAAATTAAATTTATTTTACATTTAAAATTATTCTTCTATGTTTTCTTGCTATATGTGATAAAACAATTCTACATTTTTTTTACACATCGAGTTTAAAACAACTTTACTTTCTACAGGTAATATTTTTTTAAATTATATTATTTTTCTTAATCATGTCACATCAAGCAAGGCGATAAAGCCACTGCGAATGAAAGAACTTACTGAGGAGAGCGGACAATAAAAAATTGGTTCAAAGATGTAGAAGATTGAAGCTGCATTTAAATTTTTGATCATACTTGTATAGTATATAAACTGCTATATTTTACGCCCAATAAGTAAAGCACAAACAAGTATGAAACGCCTTTAAATAAATTTTACTAAATTTAGTAGATATGAAAAACATTTGTACAATTCTGTACAAACACGGTTCCGGTATTAAATAATTCATTTCTGGAACCTGATTGGATAGGACATTCACGTGATGTGCTCTCTACGATGTCCGTGCACTTCAGCACGAAATCACCTGGAAAGAGGCAGAACATAGGTTATCCAATACGTTCCAGCGCAAAACTCAGACAGGATTCGTGAGCCGGTCACCGACTTGCCATAAGCCATAAAAGCGGCTCGTCAACCACAGACAGGACCAGATCTGAAACGGAATAGTCAGCGATCGATCTGCGAAAGACAGACCGCGGAGCAGACCAGCCTTGATTAACAAAAATGGCACACGTACCATGACAACGCGTATGTCAGCGATGATTTTTCTACATTCAACACCACGACGAAAATAAGTCTCGTAACAGCTCTCCCTCTCTCTCTCTCTCTGTTTCTCTATTTACCTCCACCACACACAAAAAGAAACACTGACTTAGTATCAGTCTACGTAATATATATTAGTGAATAACTCGTAAGAGTATTAAAGCTTTTTATTAAAGTTTACGAATATTATTAACTAATTAACCTGTGTATTTTAATCTCTTCTTATCAATTCTCATGCATTTTACTTTCATCTTTCGTGTCGCTAAAACACAAAGTCCCCAACATTTTTCGCGCCTTTTTTCTCATTTTCTCCAATAGCTAATGTAACGCGTCCTTTCTTCTTTCCTGTCCCTATCGCTGAAAAACATTCTCCTCTTCTGTCTCTCGCACCTAGAAACTACTGCTTGAATTTAACGTCTACTAATAAAATTGCTAGATTTAACCGTAAGTTCTAAGTTAAAAGTTCCTTCCCTTCTTTCGACGAACTTTGAATCTGGTTTTCACTAGAGAAAGTTTTCCCCATTAAAGCAATTTGCAGCGACCGAAAAAAGGTTGGTGCAAGATCAAATGAATATGGCGGCTAAAACAGATCAATCGAGTTCCAAAATTGTTTTTTGTGTTATTGTTACTGTACGCTTTCTTGCGTTGTCGTGGAGAACACCATTTTCGCTATTGATGAGGGCTTTTATTAACTGCACTTATGTAGTGTGCGTACGTTAGTGTATGTATGTGACTGCACATACACTCATGTATGTATCTGCGTGAATAATCGCGCGCGTGTGTGTGTGCGTGTATCTGACTGTGCAAATACCATATAAATTTATGGCATGCGGACGGGCAAGAACGTTTCATGTAGAGAATCGACCTCCCCAAAGGAAAATAAAGAGCGAAACTTGTAACTAAGATCAGATACAATTTCAAGATAATAAGACATCATCTGTTGAAATGTTCATCCGCGTCAGTCGTCCAAAAAGACGGTGATTGGACCGCGGAGATGAGACGCTGCCTCTTCCATTGTATAAACAAATGCAAACCATTCGACACATATTTGCCTTGGCGTTTACTGTTTGTCTACGTGTCACGGCTTCCGACTGATCACACAGGGTTCGATTCGGGCTACCAGGATTTGCTTGTCCGTGACCATTTGACCAGAAACGGCACTTGATTTTTCCAGAATTGGACGGGCAGTTGGGGATGGAGTTGGGAGAAAAGAAAACGGATTAGTGTTCCGACTTAACTTGGCTTTCTCGGGCCAGTTCGTAGATCTGTTGGGCTCAGGTTTCATTTCAATGTTAATCGCAAAAGATTAATTCCCTTTCTTGTCGTTATTTCTTTCGATTCCTTACATTTTTTTCTGCTACTTGTATTTATTTTAACTTGTTCGGTACCCGTGGTTTTGCTGACGGCAAGATGACCAAATTTCAAATCTGAATTGTTTGTCCATTTACAGAGTTATTTACTAAGCCAGATAGATACCTCTATTCAAATTAAAGTTACGTTTATTCAAAAAGAAGAGACCATTATTCAAAATAAAAAATGATAATTCTTTGAAAAGATTCGTTTATTTAATATAAAGATACCTTTATTTAGGTACCCCACAGCAGCTCGATATCTATGGTTTAAAATGAATTTTTAAAAAGGAAAAATCCTTCTTGCAGGATTTATTATAGTTATAATTTCAAGCTTATAGATTACATTTTATATTTCCAATAAGCAAAATACATTTTCTGTATTTCAAAACTAATTTAACTTGATTGGAAGAAGTTTTCATTTTGAAATTGTTAAAATAGCTGACTTTAGCGTCATTTTTAGCCATCTGTCATCACGATGTAATTCTCATTTTGAAAAACTTTCAAAAATAAAATATACTTTCCTGAAACTTTATTTGAGGAATATTAACTGATTTAAAGTTCAATTAATTTGATTTGAAACAAATATTACTTAAGTTTAAAATATTGCAGAAATCATTCTTAACAAACCGGTAGCTGTTTATTTAAGGTGTTCACAACTTGACTGACAGACGAAAGTTTATCTATGTTTTTCTACAATGGATATATCAGTAAAAATTATTTGAAGAATATAACATGAGAAACTTTTTTATATAATTTTTAACTCCGCTGTAATCTTAAAAATTTAGAAAAATATTCTCTGTAATGTTTTACCGAATTTTAGGCACTTTAGCTTTTTTTTACTATAGGTATGGCTCTTATTTTCTGATAATGTCGTGTATGGACGTCCGTATTTACAAAAATCGGCACGTTTACACACATAGAAAAAAAAGTAAAAATAAAAATTAAAAAAAAAATTGAGGGTAGCAAAATTGTAATAAGGTTTTCCATTTATGGTGGGTAAATAGATTTTTTAGTTAATAACAATATCACTTAACCGAGACAAATTAAGTCAGAATTTTAATTTTAAATTATTATAATTAAAATTTTACAAAATTAAAATAATTCTTGTAAAAATTCATTATTAATCGAAAGTTTTTTTTTTTTTTGTAGACAACAATGCAATAATGTCCATATATTCATAAAAGCAATTTAAATCTTTTCTAATAACATAATGTGTTAGTTTTAATGCATTTTTATTTTACGATTCAAAGTAAATTTTCGGTAATTGTGGATTCTGTTTTACAAAAGGAAATTGATGATTTAAATTCTCCAAGAAGTTCTGCTTTTAACTAATATAAATATTAAGCTTTACAAATTTTAATTTCTCGAAATTTCATAAAATTAAATAAGTGTGTGCGGGAGGTGGTAACATATATTAAAAAACGTTTTTATCAAGATTTTCTAAAAAAGATACATTTCTAAAATAATTTCAATCATTTTGAATAAGTCCTGAAAGTTTCATTAAAATCTGAAATTTTTTTTAATTATACTTTAGCAAAAATGTCCAAATCATTGTGTTTTTAACCGCAAAAAGACGCTAAAATTTCCTATACTAATTTTTGGCCCACTATCTGACGCAAGAAAAACAAGATTTTTAACCAAAATTTCGAAAGTTACCACCCAGATCCGGTTACAGAGATAAGACCTGTTACAATTTTATGGGACTACACAATACACACTGACAGAACAATCAAAGCCAACTGCCCAGATATTGTTATTAAAGACCACAAACAAAAACGGTGCCTCCTTATTGATATGGCAGTCCCTGCTGACTGCAATGTATCTTTGAAGATATTCAAAAAGTTGTCAAAGTACAAGGACCTTGAAATAGAAATCTCGAAAATGTGGCATATGGGAACATCAACAATCCCTGTTGTAGTTGGAGCCCTAGGACTGGTTGGAAAACATTGCAGTAGACTAATTGAAGGGATTCCTGGAAGTCCATGCCTCAAGGAGATACAAAAAATTGTTCTGACAAGTACAGCCCACACTTTACGAAGGACTTTATCTATATAATTTTTTTTTTTTTTTTTTCAGTGGAAAGTGTCCTGATGCCATTTCTAACCTTAGGTCCCTGGTCGGGACCCGGAAAGAAATGTGTAAACGCCAGAAATCAAAGAAAATAATAATAATAATAATAGTCATCAAAACGTCTTTTAGTCTTTCCTGGCGATAAAACTTTGTTTTTTTTTAAGTTTGGGGCATTTTTTCACCATGGTATACTAAGTTTTTTAGCGATTTAGTAGAAGTAATTACCTTTATTCAAAATATGTGATACGCTTACATGAGTAATGAGACTTATTCTTTAATATAGGGATATGAATTCAAAGTAATGAAGTCATTAATGAATCGAAAAACTTTTGAGTAGTTATTGCAATCTACTTTTTTGCTTGTTGGTGATGTCGCTGAATAAATAAATTTTTTTTTTTTAATGATACTGATATACATCTGTTACAATATTGAAGTTTTGACCAAACATTTCTCATAAAATTCTTTTATAGGAGAATAAAAACCATCGACATTCCTGGAAAAATCCTTCACAATCTTGTTCTTTAATTGTTCTATATTGCATAAAGTTTCAGGATTAGCAGAAAATGTTACTTTCAAAGAACTGAAAAACCTCTTCTATTGCGTTTCACATTGGATTGTAAAATGGCAAATATTTAACAATCAGTCCATTAATTGTAATTACACTTAGCACAACTCTTCATATTGTCCATAGTGAAGGACTTATGGCTTTGAATATGAATATCTTTGATTTTTAATAAAGGTATTTATATATTGAATAAACAAATCTGTTCAATGAGTAATGGCCTTTTAATTCTGAATGACGATTTCTTCTTTTTGAATAAAATGTCTATATATTAAATCAAAATATCTTTAATTTGAATAAAGATATCTGACTTAATGACTACCTATAAAATACTACATTTATTAAAAAAATATATTCAGTTTAAACAGGAAACAAAATAATATCTTCAAAATATCTGTTTATATTATTACTCAGGGTTTGTTGCTAGACAGTAAGAGAAATTATTCGTCAGATGTTCATTTCAATTTCATTCATATTGTGTGCATGTACAATTCATGTACGCTTGTATATTTTAATTCAGTTCAAAGGCCTAAAATATTTCTACAAAAAAAAAAAAAGATTTAAAAAATGATTGCATTTATTGCCGAAAAATGATGTCTTTTCATTCTAGTTCGGTACCTGTAGATTTTCTGTAGTCAAGATGGACAAATCTCAAATCTGTATTTCTTCTCCAGTAAAAATATTACATTTATTAGAAAATATATTCAGTTTAAATAGAAAAGGAGTCATACAAAATGACTTCAAAGGTTGAAACATTTCGGCTTAGAATCTTTTCCTGTTACCCAGGGTTTGTTGCCAGACAGAAAAGGGGAATTAGCCCTCGCGATACAAATATCCATTTCAAATTTTCCCACTGCCGTAATATTGCCTCTCTGTGTCATTTCTATAAATACTTTCATAGTAATTGTTCGGATGAGCTTCTTTAGTTTATTCATTCCAGTTAACTTAGTTAAGGGATGTATGTTCATTGCCCCCACCCCCATTTTATTTCTGTTCATATTTCTCTTTAATTTAATTCCCCACCCCCTCCCTCATTAGGTGGTCAGTGATTTCAGGTTTCTGGTGGATGCGGGGCGCCTTTCGTTTTGGGTGTGTTTTTTTTCCTATTTGTTGTTGTGTCTGTTTGAATGTGTGCTTGTGTGAGTGCATGGGATGAATGAATGTTTTATATTATTATAGTCCCCCATTGATTTCGTACAGTTAAATGATGTTTCTGCCACAGTTAAGGATTGTGTGAGTTTTATTATTAACATTATTTAGTTTCTTGTAAATAGATCTGTATTCATATTGTAAATATTCATTGGGACTGTTTTTTAAATTGTTGTTTTATTCCCCACCCCACAGACAATGAATTGTACATATGGGGACTAGTTAGGATTTTCATCGAGACAATGAGGTATTATGGTGAATGTAGTAAGAAAGGTAAGTAAGTGCGTTGTTTTGGTGTTACGAATATTGTGGTATGTATGGGTCAGTATTTGTGGCTAGCTAAGTTTAAGTTGACAGAAGAGATCCGCCCTTTTCCCCATTCCCCATTTTTGGCCTTGTGCCACATTTTCTGTAAATAAGCGGGAATAAATATCGCTGTTCACTATGGTACCTAGAGTTTTTAAAAAAAAATCTAAGCGCAGTACTAGACTGACGTCGAGATGTCATCAAGTTACAGATGAGCTGGCAAGATGTAACCGTATATTCTATGCTAACAGTTTCTTTCTTGCAAGTTCTCGCTTGTGGAATTCCCTTTCGGATCCATGCTTTCCAGCCAGCTTTAATCAGCAAAAATTTAAATACAATATCAATCTACTGTCCTCCTGATTATTTTCTTTTCGTTCTGCTCCTTATTAATGTTTCTGTTCCTAATTCTTCGACACTCTATAACCCCTTGTGTTCTAGTGGCTTTACTTCCTTGCCTAGACTTTTGGAACTTAAGCACAGTACTAAACTGGCGCTGGGATTTTATCAATTAACAGGTAAACTCTAAATATAGCCGTAAGTTCTATGCTAACATTTTTTTCTCGTACTTATCTCTTATGGAACTCCCTTATATGATTTCCAGTCAACTTTAATCATTAAAAATTAAAAAGCAGTGTCAGTCGCTATCTACTGTCCTCCTGATCACTCTTTCCTCTTCCCGCTCATTATTAATGTTTCTGTTCCTAGTTCTTCCACACTGTGAAACCCCTTATGTCTCAATGGCTTAACCAAAAAAAAAAACATCATTGAAATTGTATATGTAGGTTTGAGTATGCATATCTATATTTCCTTTCTGGGGTTTAAAAATATAACTTTTTTTTTTTATTT